TAATTTTGCTATCGAGAGGATTTACTCCGGTGTTGATTCCATACGAAATTCCGTTTTCAAGTGACTCCAAAAAGGAGGAGATCTGTATTTTATGGGTATATGTTAAGCGAAATATTCAATAATTTTTAACCATTGGGAGTTAGGGGTTTAAGTTTTTTAATTGCTGTTATTGTAACAATCACTACATAGTATAAAATAAAGTCGCTGTCGCTGTCTGTTCGTCCCCATGTATGCTTAAGTCTTTAAAACTATGCAACGGATTTTGAAGCAGGGCATGCATTTTTTTTTAATAGAGTGATTCAAGAGGAAGGTTTATATGTATAATATATGCATAATATGATAGAGAAACACTGATAATTTTAAAGGTTTCTAATGTGATGTGATGTAATGTGCACCTGTGCGAAGCCGGGGCGGGTCGCTAGTTAATTATAAAATATTGTGTTAAGACTACGGAGAATATTTTTCGCATCTGAGTTGCCATATTGATAGTTGTCATTAACGACTTGTTCGAGAGCTAATTTCAAAGGCAAATGTGGTTTATAAAGTATACATATTTAACATACGGCTTATTGATCTACCCACGGTAACGAATTAATTACTTTTATGCAATTGAGGCACAAAAAAATAAATTATGTGATTGATTCTTAAGTATTTATAGCATTTCTAAATACCAATCGACATGTATATATATATATATATATATATATATATATATATATATATATATATATATATATATATATATATATATATATATATATATATATATATATATATATATATATTTATTCTCCTACATGGTTGTCTGTTGTATTCTATGAAATACCTTCGTAAATTTTGAATTGATTTTGATGATTATAGTTTTTAATGGCAATTATTTACTTTTCGTCATCAATTAAATTGTGTTGATAGTATTTTTTTTTAATGGATAATAATGGTATGATAACCCCGCATGCGCTAACGGTATACGCTGGCGGGGCACCAGTGATAGATGATAGGTGAGGATGAAAAGGCAGTTCAGTTAGCCCATCGTGATGAATACACTTGGAATTCAGCACGATGGTTTTCAGGGTATATTATTAGCAATGGAACTGATAATCCGCATTACTAACAATTACTTCTCCCCCTGTTGATAGTATTTAGTAATATGCTATTAAAAAGTTTGCATTTTAACAAATACCTATACTTATAGATTTGTGGATTACCTATTCGAATGTCATGGTTAACGCACAGTTGATAAAATTATTCTGACTTATAATAATTATGTATATCGAACTCATTACAGGAAGTTCTGTTTCCATCCTTGGAATAATAATGACATTTAAATGTCAAAAAGTATCCAGGATGTGACTAATGCAATAACTGTAACGACAAACAGATGCACACACCAATCTGAGTTTTATTTTTTAAATATTGCACTAAAGAAATGTGAAATTTTTGATTAAATTGATATGCCCCTAATATTTACATTTTAGTTAATACTCACTTGCTTAGTAAATGAGCTATAACTGAATAGTTGGAAAGTTCATTTTAAAAATGTATTTATTGTTATAATGTATGATAAATTTGATTGAATAAATAACAATTAAAAATTAATTGTGATGTACATATAATTTCAGTTCATAGGATATTTATTAAAATCTTCAATAAATATAAAAAAAAATGATGTACTTTATTACATCATGATTAAATAAAAAACTAAGATATTAAGATAATTTATGATTTTGATCCGCAAAAATAAACTTCAAACATTGTCATATTTGTACATACAAATTAGCATAGAATAACAACAACAAATAAACAACATCCACAGCAGTAAGAATAATCGAAATAATTTAATAATTTGTGAAGATATTGCGTAGCATAATAAATATTACTAAATTAAGAAATTTCATGTTTAAAATTACATAAAATAGACTTATACAGAAAATGTTGATAACCTATAACATAATAAAATTATATTGATTTTAAAAATGTGAGAAGACAAAAAAAGGTTATGACTCATTGACACCAATAACTTGATTTCAGCTGTTTGAAACTGGAGCTATACTCGTATTGTAATATCTCAATACATAATATTCTTGTCTCACAATATTCGTCCTTGTTAATCTCCGAAATCGCTTAACCGACTTTAATGAAAATTTGTAAATATTTATTGTTTAGCGAGTTTAATTATTGATTAGTGATCTATGACGAGCAAAACAATATTTTCCGTGTCAGCTAGTAATAATATAAAATGCTCGTTTAATTCAGGAACAAAAAACATAATTATTTTAATCAATTAATTACTTTGATCTTTAAATTATGCCTTAAAATTACATACCTAATTATCTGTAATGTTTAATATCGTGTGGATTTTATCATAATTAGATATACTATATGAGGTTCCTCTTCCTCAAGTTACAAGGTTATAATATCCAGCATGCTGGAGCTTTGGTGTGATGCAGTTAGAGTCAAGGGCCTTGTCTGCAATTATACTTATAACCTCATGTCTGACCATGATCCCAGGATCGATAGTACATATGAGGTATCGTCATCTACACGTACCTACCTAATACAAATACTGGCGTGGCAACTGTCTGTATACCTAATTGAATTAATTATAATGCTGGAATTTCGATATTTAAAGAGTTGTCACCTATTCCCAATTTGAGGTAAAATAGTTTCTTATATTTTAGGTATAAGAATATAAGGTAAAGGTAAGGTATAATAATATAATTTATAATATATAAAATATAAGAAATTATAAGAAATTTGTAGATAAAGTAATGTTTGTATTGAATAGAAATTTTTAAAATATGTGATATGTCAAATATATAAAATATGTCTCCCTCTTTTTCTCTCATTAAAAAAAAAGAATTTTGATATATACTTAGAAGTATATATCAAAATTCTGATAGATTCTGATGAAAGAAGTGACAATAGATCGTCATTACATGTTATTATTTATTTACACTTTATTACATCATTTATAAAAACAATAAATATAGTTAATTTTATTAAGAAGTGTGATACAAAAGGCAGTCTTATCGCTAAGCATTCTCTTTCAGGCAACTTTTGGGTAATAGATATTAAGAAAAAAGACAAAGGGTAGGGGGCGTTGTATTATATATATATATATATATATATATATATATATATAAATATATATATATGTTTATATATAATATAAACACATATATACATAAACATACACATAATTTTATTTCAAGAAAATTCAGATAACTACATTATATCTGGTAGACGATTAAAAATAAATTAGAAGTCTAGTATTTAATATCTCAAAGTTTCGCTTCCTAAATAGAGCTTTGACCCATCGGAAGCGGAACCAAACTCAAGGTCGTGGGGAAATGTGTTCTCGTGACTGTTCTACTAGTTGTAATGTAACCGCATGCGCAGATAATGTCAAGAACTTGATGTCACAAAAAAAAATTAAAACTTATGGGGAAAGGGGTCCTTATGCTACAGTACAGATTAATAATACTACACTAGTAATACGTATTTTTTGCTATTAGATGGAACGTATGGAAAATCTGCGCTAAATACATTTGATATATTGACATCATCATGACTTCTTGAATATCTCCCATTTAGAAAGATCAATTATATTTTTAAAATTGAAACAGAATAATTGTAGTATATTTCAATAGAATTTTTATTTATTTATTTTATTGTAAGATTTACTAACATTAGGTTAAAATTATGTTACTAACGAATTGGGCCAGTCTAGTCTGTAATAATAAAGATAATTACTATATATAGGTATATATAATATAATAAAAAATTAGTATGTATGTATTACAATTATTATTAGTACCGAATTCAAGTACTCTAACACTTCTCTAAGGTTGACTGGGAGACAATGTTTTTAGCATTAGGTCCGCCATGTATTTATACTTGTATATGTAATAATGAATAAATAAATAAAAAATCAAGTTTTGTTGAAATAATTACAGAAAACTCTCTAAATGAAATTAATAATAAATCGAAACCAATGGATAATAGCAGTCTCTTATAATCGAGCTAATTAAACGTCTGTTTACATTTTCTTATGTTTTATTGAAACAATGTACGAAATAAAATTTTACACAGTTCTCATATCTAAGAAAAATCTTAATAATTATTTCTTCAATGTGGCTTAACAGCAATATTAACGACAGCATGTAGCACGATCTAGCGGTGATTCGTGACTGATTAGCACGAGATGAGCGGTTGACAATATAACGCTCAACCAGTTCATATCCTGGTCTAACATATCTGCATCCTGGATGAACTAAAGATTCTCATAAACAGTTCAGTGTATTATTAATTAATTTATTCCAATTTTTATGTAAATTATTATTGCAATGATTTTAATTTTTACTATTAAAATTGTTTACGCAATATTCTATATGTAGTCTTTGTGTATGGCTATATGTTACAATAAACAAACTGAACTTTGCATTTGTATTATATTTAACACTGTGTATCAATTCTATTATAAACATTTATAATTTGATATTTATTAATTGTCCATTTTCATGGACAGATTAAGGATAATACCCGTTAACAATTTTCAATTAATTTTCTAAATAAATTACTTTTAAGTAAATTCTTTATTAAGTAATTCATTACGTTGAGAATATAAGAGATATCAGTTTTGAATTATATAGAGATTAAATCTGATAATGTTTTGTTAAAGTAATTTTGTGAGAAAAATATTATAGGTCTTATATTACCATATTTTTTAAATAACAAAACCTAAATGCTGATAGTTTTATTTAATTTACTAATTAAAAATTTATTAAAAAAACTACAAATCACAAAAGTTGTCTGATCAACCATTAAGATTAGATCAGAATAGTAATAAAGTGCGATCAGTAAGTAAGTGAGTAATTTTGCAGCCAAACGTATTTCGATAATTTTTTTTTTTTAAATCATGTCTAATAAATTAGTCTAAAATGGTTTTCGTATAAAATTTCGTAACAGGTCCATAGGTGCATATACTCGTACGAACTTACCTGGATCACAAAACGATTGTGTAACCACTGCGAGAATTGCCAACAATCCTATTAAGCACCTTGTACTCCCTTCGGCCATGTTTCGTGATCACAGAATCTGCAACAATTAGACAATAATCATTAAGTTATTCTTCACGCTCTATATTTATTTTTTGTTATATGTTATACATTATCCTATTACACGAGCCTGTTACTAATATAGATTCTCCAAATTTTCAATACAAATATGCAAATATTAACAATGCCCACGAATTCGTCTGCATGATTAAGAGAAAAACATCTTTCATAGCCTATATCCTTGGGGGAAAGGGATTATTAGCAATGGAATTTGACAGCTCTATTGTTAGCAATATTCCCTATTAGGTTGACCTCCACGTGGTTTCCCCTGGAAACCATCGTGAACAATTCTTATTGAATTCGTCACGATGGGCTAACTGACCTGTTTCGTCCTCACCTATCATCCTTCACTGGTGCCCCGCCGGTGTATACTGATAGCGCGGGTGGGGTTACCATTCCATTATCACCCATTAAAAAAAGAGCCTATATTCATTTCTATCCCATATACTATGTGTGTGCTTAATTTCATGACGATTTCTTGAGCTATTAAAGCATCAAGAGGCAACAAAGAAACAAATGATAGTAAAATTTTTTATGATACTTAGAATTATAAACAAACTGAAGCACCATGGATATCAGAAAATACATTGATATACCCAATGGCAATGAATGACGGGTCATACGTTCTACATCATAATGTCTCCATACCCTATAGTTTAAAATTTCTGCACAGCGATCTTATTCATACCTGGATCTATGTTTGGACATCTAAATAATCTTAAATCAAGCGTAGAAACTAATAACGTGGTATTATATAGATGTTAGGAAGATAAAATCATATATTTTGCCAAGCTGCTAATTATTACTGAGGTCTGTTGAATCCGGGAGATCAAAGGTATTTAAGCCGACATATAAATTATGTAGGACATCAGTATATAACCATAATATATTAGGACACAATGAATAATATAGAATCGAGATATGGAAATTTTTGCATCATAAAAAAAACATCAAATAAGTTCAAAATTAAATTAATTAAAATACATTATACTCAGTAAATATTATTTTTTATAATACTTTATATTTCGTTTTACATTCTATCTGTTCTTAGAGGTAAGTTGCTTTTTTTTCCTACCGAACAACATTACCAATACCTACTACAGCTATGCTGGATGAATTATTCAATGTAAATTTTAGGTATTACAAAAATGTATTATTTTATGTATTACATTCTCGTCGATTGGTGACAAAATCGGTCAAGGAAATTCTCACATCAAATTCCTCTTCTACAATATAACGTTGTATAAATAATATGCGTTGCTTTAATGATCTGAGTTAATGACCATTATCATATCATTAAAGTTTATATTTTAGAATAGATTTGTATGCTAAATTCTAAATAAAGAATATTTTATTTTTAAGTTTTTAAGCGACTATCAAAAGAAGGAGGGTCTCCATTCGTCTAATTTTTTGACTAAGTTACGCAATTGAATTGCCAATTCTGAACCGATTTTTATAATTAAGTTTCCAGTACATAAAAAAATTTGACACGATAAAAATTATTTTTAGACATGTAATTCGAGGTTCTAAATTTAAATTTTGAAAGCGTAATGTGCAAAGAGTCATCACATCGTTTACTAGTGTTTGTGTATGTATATTCACGATAGAAGTAAATTTTTTATGAAGCAAAACCTGCAAAACTTATTTATAATAAAATTAATTGATTTACGTACTGGTATATATTTGACGAGAATACTCAATAAGTTTTGTCACCATCCGGGATCCTTATTCATAGCCGCTTATCAACAAAAATCGCGTAATGCAAGTCAATTTAGTTTTTACTACTAAAATGTACTACAGTGCTTACGAAATTTATAACATTAACACAGTTTTATTCGTTGTGGGTCTCTTAACAACCAAAACTTAATCATAACTGCTTCCCACTCAAATCGCCTTGGACAAAATAGTATTTGATTGGCATCTTTAAAAATTAATTTGCAGCTACACTATAAGCAATCTATCATAGACTGTGATGAAAACCATGATTAATGTTTAAAATACAAAATTGTAAAAATAAATTAGATAATCTTCCGTCGACAAGTTCAATGACATGTCCATCAAAATTTGTCAGTCGATTATATTTTAAGAATCTCCTAATGTAAACATAGTGGTTTTACATGCTTTTGAACATAAACAAGTAATGAATAAGTTGAGAAGTCGTTGAACTTTTGTAATTATAGTATAAGTAGCTGTTCTGAGGAAGTTCACGAACGATAAAAACCTTGCCCTTTAATATAATGTATATATATATAACAGTGTTAATTTTATATGCCCCTGACGACAATTCGCTTCGGGCTTGCATACCATAATTATTCAGATACCTGCTTATATTTATATCTACTGCTTTATTTCTGTATGGGCACGATTTTAAAATATGAAGTTAAAAACGAACATTCTTTAATGATTATGTATGAAATAAACGATTTGTAACATTCTTTACTGATTGTAGTTTTTATGTGTATTAACTGTATAAAATTATAATTTTTTGTCTTTAAATGCGTGACTGTGTATTGATTAATTTTTTGTTTTATTTAATTAAAACAGAAGAGGAAAAAAAAAACAGTCGAGGAATTCTCGTGAGATCTATGATGTTACAATACAATTTAAATAAAAACCAGTGGTGCAGTTTGTTTGGTTAGCTGTAATAATTTACATATATCTTATTTCCCAGTCGATATTAGTTATTATGTAGAATTCAAATAATGCTATAGGTAACTATTAGAATCACTGTGGGGGGTTTTTAAAGTCTGTATGACTTGGATATTATTGCTTATACATATTAGTATCTATATTAGCCTTTGAAATTGGATTAAGTTTTTATTTATTTATTTTTAATTTCCTTCATTATCAATATTGTTCATTTGATAGTCATAAGTTCGTGTCGTTTAGTCCTGAAAGATTTTCAACAATAGACAGATAATGTTTTTTCATGCAACTAACCATGGCAAACAAGCTGATGGCCCACTTGATGGAAAATGGTAACCGTCGCCAATAAACATGAAAAGTATCATGGTCACAGTAGATTATATTGTGTCGCCCATGATACTTTTCATACGTTGCTATTTCTAAGGTGTTCCTCCTCTGTACCTTGTGATTTCACTGCCATATCCCACCCTTCAAACTGAAACACAGTCGTGCAAACATAACAGCTTCACGATAGAAACTTTAATGGGACATAAGAACCCAAGCTGTCGACTTTTGTACAAAGTCTCTTTCTGATGATGAAGCATTATAGTGCATAACCGGATAGAAACAATTAGGATTAACTATTTGTATTTCTACATATTGAAAAATACGATTGTAAGTACTAACTTGAGAACATACTTATTATTTATTTGCACATGCAAATAACTGTTAATGAATTTGTGTTGATCTTCAGGGCACACTGCTTCACAATCCAATGGCAATGGGTTCCATCCCGGCATAATATTAAATATTTATTTTTATTTCATTAGGTTTGTATGTTTGTCATGGCTTGGGTATTTTTTTTATACTCACTTATTTACTCATATTTTTAAATAACATATGCATAGTAGCTTTTAAATAAAACTTTAAAACAGATTTTAACTTTATATACTAAAATTATGAGTTAATATGTATGAGCGCGGCAACTACTGACAAAACCCCCCCTTTTTGGATGAGGTTTATGTTCAGGAGTATTCAGTAGACGACTGATACGATGACGATGATGATGTACGAGTATAACTTCAAAGTGTTTACAAAAAATATGTTTTATGATTTTATTGGTTTATAATTTACTAATAATGGATTTAATAATAACATATCATTCATCGATGGATGAAGTAAATTGATATTATATATATAAAAATTGATCATTTTATTAATATGGATACAGATGTTACACACATACTCCTATAATGCAAATCAAGTTTTTGTTAAACATATTTAATGCCACTTAGAAATCTTTTTAAATATATAATTAGCTTATCTATAGACCTTTGACATTTATGGGATGATGTATACGAAATCTTACGGTTTTATTTCATTTATTATAAACTTTCAGCCCTCTTCTTCATACGCGTAGATTTTAGAAACAGGAAAACTAATGTAATAGAAAACTTCTAGATAGTGTGTCAAGTTGAAACGTTTATAAATGATTGCTGCATCGTATATATGATTTCAAGACCTCACATTTTTTTTCTTAAACATACGGACATCGTCTTCTTACAATCCAATTTATTACTTTTGTACTTTTTCACCTGTGATGTGTTAATTTTAACATCTTTATACTGTAATTATAAAACGTTGACAGAAAATTTTTTTGTAACCTATTTCATTTTGATTTTATTACTGAGTGACGATTGGTGTCCGAATTTAATCAAACTGACACTCTTCATACTGATACTTGATTGACAATGCTTATTTATTATTATGAAAACTTAGTTCTATGTTCGGAATTATTAAAAATCCTATTAAATTCTATATACACTATGAATTGTTGCCGATAAATTTACTATTATTTAAATTTTAACATCACTGTAATTAAAGTTCTCGTTAGAAAAAAAATTGTTGTATTCTTTCGTGTACGTGTATATTTTATTATATGTTACGTTATTATCTTTGCCTACTCTGAACCGATTTTGACAGTTTTCTTACATTCCTTAAAATTTACTTCTATGTTGATTCTATACAAATTCTAGGAAAAATAGTTATTGTCACATTTTATTGTGAAAAGAAATATTTAATGACTACTGCTATTTTATGTTTCATCAAAATGTATCTGGTACTTAGATAATTTCCGTGTATATTGACATTTACAAACAAAAAAATAGATAATGGTGAGTCAATTTATTCGAAATCAGTATATCATATATTCAAGGACATCTACGTAGCAAAGATGCGACGTCGAGACGGCTGGCCCACATATGCTGAGCTGCGCTTGCGCAATATAAGATTCACTAGCGTAGCCACCCAGCGTAGTAATTTGGACGCGATCGACCGTGCAGACTCAGATAATGA